CTCCTTAGTGAAAAGTGATTGAATTATTTTTAAAAGAAAGATTTGTCTGTCCAAAACCAGACCACGTATTCTCAGCCCAAAACTAAGGTATGTGATTGCCTCTTAGAAATCAAACCAAATACAATATTTAATAAGCTTTTACATCTCTATTTTTTACTGCATTCAAATCTTGTACTGGTTTATAAACATGACCTATTGATGTTGTCAAGAATAGCTTCCAAAAATTTTGTCCAATCTTTATTCTTAATAGCTCTTGTATAACCTGCATTACCCAGTGCTTCATAGTTTCTCTAGGTCAGAGTAATTCAGAATTATATCTGACACCCACTTTGCAGTAATTTTACCAGATGTAATGGTTGTGACAAAAAGAATTCTACTGTGAAACTCTGCATAGTGATAGAAGTACCTAACTGCTTCAAAGCAGTGTGTTTCGAAATAGGCTGGTTTAGGCAATGCCATAGAAAGAAAGCAAAGAGTCCATCTCTCTCTCTTTTTCTCTTCTCCCTTTTGCCCTTCTGCCCCAGCCATCAGCTGTTAAAAGTGTTCCAGTCTTCATCTTAAGTCAGTGCCATTCAGTGTTTACTCAGTGAGCAGTGAATGATTTGGATTCATTAGAAGCAACTTCTTGCAGAGGGCTTGCATTATTGTACGCATGAGAGGTAACAGGGGCAAGTGTGGCAGCAGGAATTCATACCTGTAGTGCAATGAGGAAAAGAAATCATAATTAAACAGTCAAACAGTAATGAACTTATTTCCCTCAGTGGTGTTAATTTTTTGCATATATTCACAGTTCAATTTGTGTGGTTGAAAACCACTGCTTTGTTGCCCTGGCTGACAAGAAATATGTTGGCTAGGACGGGATTTTTCTTGGGCCAGCATTTGGGAGGACAATTAGATGGACAGTGTACAAGTTGTATTCTAATCAGTTGTTGCAGCGTCAACTGAAAAGTTGTCTAGAGGAACTGGGTGTCAATTCTTACTACTGAAAATGGTTTACGCTTTTTATGCAAGTCTTTTCTTTGCACTTTTTCAGCATTCTGTGTCAGGTGGTCATGTTTGCATAAAAACAAACACGTTGAAATCTCTTGTTAGAGAGGGTCTCTGATACACTGGGGCAATTTCTGGCGAAATAAAATCCTCTCCTGTATGCCAGTGCCCTGCAGTTGCTCCTTCACTCGTGCAATTTTTTCTCAAATTCAGCCAAGAAGATTTTAGTAGCACAACAGCACAACCCCCCCCCCCACACACACACTTGTATGTATTCATAAGGGTTGCAGTAGATTTATACACTGGCTAGATTTTAAAAAATGTTTGCTGTGCAGTGCTCATGGTCACAGTGTAGATGAGATATGGTCTGTGTTTTGGCTCTGCATTACACCAAGCTGACCCTTAGTTAATGCTGCAGAATTTTATGTCAGTGGAAATTTCTCTCAGCAGATTAATTCTCCACCCTGCTGGCATACCTTTACTGGGACTCTTTAACTCTTGTATGGTGATTCAGCCTTCATTAGCAGTGACTGACACCAGCCACCAATGAACCTGCTTTTCCTCCCACTGCAGGAATTACTAGAGTTTCCTTTAAAGACTGGTGCTATAGGAAGGCATCTTTTCAAGACAAGAAACTATTTGAATTTATGGCCACACGTTGGTTAAATGAGTTCATGCCTAGGTCTGCCTTTCATTTTTCATGTACTCAGAAATCATGAGTTGAAGTTGCAAGAGATTACTGGATCATTCAGTTTTTAAATGAAAAATGTTTGCATGATCTTTCTTTTTTGACCTTCTGAATAGTATTCTATTCTATTGAATATGTTCTTTGTTGCCTTTCGGCAACTATGAGGAAGAGAAACATCCTTTAAATGAAAGATAAAATTCTTAATCTGAAGCTTTGAGAAAAGCAACAAATGCCATTGGACTTTGTGATACCAAAGGCTTGTCAGCAATAGCTGTAGTAGACATAGGAGAAGTGAGCAAAGGCTGGCCCTGCTGGGCAGTGGATCATGGCCTTTGGAGGACAGCACACAGCTGAAGTTGGAAGGGCTACACCGTGCTATGGATTTAAGCAAATAATTAAAGCATTTGTTTTGCTGAGGATTATTTACAATTGCAACAGAACTCTGCTGCTTTGCTGGTAGTGCTGGCCTTCCCATTAGAGCCTCGAAATTTATCTAAGGAAGGCTTGTGATAAATTTTGTGGAGTTGCAAGGCCACATACCTTTTCTCCTTTTCCCCTTCTCCTCTTCCAACTCAGTGTAGAATTCCTGCACATTCAGTTTCCATCCTGTCAGCAGCAAGAGCTGCTTTGTGCCCTGCTGGCTCTGTTATGTCTTTTGAGAAGTTCTGCTTCAGGAGCTGTCTCTTCCATTCCCAGGAATGGAAGTGCTTCTGCTGTGAAGCTGGTGTAGTGTACAAATAATTTTATTTTTATCTTCATTGAAATGCAGCTGGGACTAGGTATGAATGCACTAAAAGGTCTTGGAAATGGAAACATCTTTCTGTGGCTGGTATAATGTGCCTTTCTCATTGAGAGTTGGAGGCATCCATCTTGCTTTTTAAACATCCTATTCATTATTGCTGCTTCTGTGAATTTCATTTGTACATCTCTTTCAACATTTGACTGATAAACTGCATCCTGCTTAACAATAGGAGAGATTTAGTTTTTATGTCATCATTGAATGTTATTCAGGAATGATTAGCTATTGAACAACACATGCTGGCCAGACTAGGAAAAGATCTGATGATCTTCTCTAACCATTCAAGGATTGCAGGTAAGCTCTGTGTACCAAAAAACCCCAAGCCCCCAAAATCCCAAACATTGCACTCCGTGCTCAGAGTTTTGCTCTCAGTTTGACAGCAGATGCTGCCTGGTTCTTTATGTCTGAAGACAATTTTACTGAATTAGATAGGCTTCATTTCTGAATTTCATTGACATGTTAAGATTAGTCCAGAGTTTATGCCCTTTCTGCAACCCAGTAGAATTGTTTGATTGGTAGTTCATGGCTGTTAATTTGGGGGAAATTCTGTTCTACATACAACAGATGGATGTATGTCTCATAGGAGAATGGGCCATTTTACAATTTACAGATTAGGTTGTTCTGCAATAATGTGGGATTAGTAACCCACAAATATGACTTTATTTGTCTTCTAGTGTATCTTTGAGGTAGGCACTTCTCTTTAAAGTCAACCAGCACCGTTTTAATTGAGCAGCTTTCAGGTATTGTTTGGATTATACAGAGCTATAATTATAATAATACACACTGTAAAAGAAACAGGCAAATGCTAAAAGTTCATTGAGCTCTTCTGATCAGGTTGATTAGACCTGTTTCATCAGATTATGGTAATTCAAATGCAGTGGCTGTTTAAGATATTTGGCATGTGTAGAGCAACTGACACAAGAGGATACTAAACACACAGGCTCTTCATTAACAGATAAAACTCTCAGACTTTCTGGAGGAAAACATCATGGGAGTGGTCATAAACCCTGATTAACTTTTCTACCAGCAATTAAATTGGTGTATAAATTTGCTGTGAATTCTTTCATATCTTTGTGAGCCTTGCACACTATTGAGCACTGTTCTGCTGATGCTACAGATTTTATTCTTTCTAAACAGGAATTCTCCACTGACTGTAATGTAAATTGCAAGGACATGTTGCATTGTGAAGAACAAGTTATGAAAATATCTGTCAGAAATAATTACAGTTGATCCTGCTGTCAGGCAGGAATATAGATTGGATAATTTACTGGTGTCTTCCTCAGCAGTGTTTTTTATAGCTCTGTTATCCGGAATATTAGAATCTAAAATCACTTGTAAGGAGGATAAAAAAAGGAAAGGAAAAGTTATTGATCTTCTTTTCTACTCTTGACTTTGCCTGATGGTTTGTGGCACGGGCTTACTTGTGCATGACTGTGTAGAAAGCAGAGTATGATCATTGATACTGTTTTTTGAAGATGCAGAGGCTCTTGATTGTACATATCCTGTTTTTCAAGGGTGTCCTAAAGGCCTCAAACAACTGTTTGCTCCTTTTGAAGTTTGTATCCTAAATCAGATGTGGCACATAGTACAAGCCTTTGTAGGGACCTAAGGACACCTGGAGGTAAATATGCCCTGTGATGGTCTGAAGGGTGTATTTTGCCAAGTCGTCCATGCAAGTGACATTTAAGGATCCTGCAGAGTGAGTAAGTGGGAGAAGCTCAAGGCTATTGATTGCCCTTGTCCTCCCTCCCCTGCTCTATAGATTATGAGACCTGCTACTGTTGTTCAGGACAACAAGGCAAAAGAGAAAGATGGAAATGTATAGTTGGCAGGTGGGTTGGTAAACAGCTCTTGTAATTTCATGACTTTGGTAGAAATTGAAGTGTCAGTATTATTCCTAAAGAGTGGGCAGCAATACATCTTTCTAATGTACCCTCTCCTCCCAGATATGCAGCTGATAAGATTTTATTGATTTCCTCCCTTAAATTTCTACTCCTGATTACTTCAACACTGATGTTTTGGTGGTTTTAATTTACCTCTCCTCAGAAAGTTTCTTTATTTCTCCAGGTCAGGAGTAGTCCTTTTCACAAAAGCCTTCACATAAGCCTGCAGAAAGAAGATGCAGGATGTGGACTCCTTAAACTTGTCTAATGGCACATTTAAGGAATAATGTATTTCTTGTTTATTTGCCTTTTGAAGAGCTCTCTATACCTAAAGGCCCATAGCAACAGAAATGTTCTCTGCCACTGACAGGTGTCTGCCTATCACAAAGCATCATAGTGATCTCCAGGCTTTTTTAATCCAACAGACTATGGCAGTGCATGAAAGGACTGACCTTGGAAAAGCTGCACTGGGTTTAAAAAAACCCAGCTACTCTAATGAGAGAAAATGGACTACTTGGTATCTGTGCTGTTTTAACCTGGAGCATGTTAAAAAATGGAGCAAACAATCCCGAAATGAGCTAACTGACCCAACTGAGACCAGCTGAGGCTTCCTTAACCCTGCCTGTGTTTAACTCCTTTGCAGCTGTCTTCCACTGGGACAGAGGTGGAACTTGGACAGACCGCGTGTGCTGAGCAGTGCTCCCCAGATCTGCAGCTCTCCCCAGGAAGACCGGAGAACAATTGCAAGTGTGCCACCTGGACAAAATGTAAAACTTTGCTGTCAGACTGTCCTATCCCTGGTAAGGCATCTAAGGCCACCTGATTACTGATGAAAACAAACTTAATAGAAAGGAAAATAACCTGTAAAATCAGGGGACTACTAGGACATGTTACATGTTTGTGAAATGTTTGCATTAGGCTGTGATGGGCATACTGTAAAAATTGCATGCAAAGTAATGGGAAGAAAACGAGTGCTGGAAAAGAAACACTTTCTAAAGGTGTTCTGTTGGTTGGTTTTAGATATTGTTTTCAGTCTGCCTCCTCTGAGGGAGAGCTGGTTGTGACCGTAGATTCATTTATGCAGAATGCCTGTATCTGTTAGGACAGAGCAGGTTCTGATTTGTCCTGTCAATGAATCCTGGAAAAAATATTTAATGAAAATATATAGGTGTAGATGACAGCTCTAAGCCTGGACACAATGGGGAGGCAGACCTGACCTATTTAGCTGCATATCTTACAGTGACATTTCACCACTAAATCTAATTCTAATATTATTTCTCTTCTGTAAGAATGACTGTGCAGCTGTGGATCCTATGCAAAGCCTTATGCACATATTTACCTCTGTGGTCTAGAGAATATTGCACATGCTCATATTCCCTTTAGGCCTGTATTTATTTTTTTTCCCAAAATCAAGGTCTCAATACACTTGTAAAATTCTCTGTGTAGTACTAAGTAGAACAATAATGTAAATGTTAATATAAAAGATGAGTTAGCAGTACCCAATACAATGTGACTGTTCTTAGGTCATCTTTGAATGCCCATGCATTAATAAAAGATGATTAATTGTTATAATGTGCTAAAACACTAAGAAGGACTAAAGATAGTTCCGAATGACATTCTGTGTTAAATTAATTTGCTAAGCAAGGCTGAGAACAGCTGCAGAAAATCACAAAGCATTCTTGTATCTTATGTAGCCTAATTTTTTTTCGCCTCAGTGAGTGATTTACTTAAATTTAACTTGTTTGGGGTTTTTTGTGGTCCTTTTAGTTTGATAAACATAGCCAATTAAATTCATGATAGGATGTGACTGGGTAAACTCAGTTTCCGAGGAACTGATCCTACTGGAGGTACAACTGTTGGCTGCATGTTAAGTGAATGCACAGGAAATTGGAATAAATGAGGGTTTTAATGTTTGAACTTAAAGCTCTTCTTCAACATTTATGATTTTATGACTCTATTTCCATTTCTGAGTCCCCAGTATGTCATGTTAAGATGACCTGCCATTGAACAATGCTTGGCTGTTGCTGGAGAGGAGGTGCTGGTGCTGTTCCAGCTGTTCTGCCTGGAATCCCTCTCAGCCCAGCTTAGGAGCACCAGTGCAGAGCCTGTACCAGGATTAATTTTGATGGGAACAGCATTGTCATGATGATGTTGAGGTCTGTTCATACCTGTCTAGGAGAGGTTGGAGAAGAGACAGAACTGCTCATGAATCTGTGTTGTGGAAGAGTTGATGGCAACTCAAAATGCAAGACAGACCCACGCTGAACTTAATAAGACTTTGATGTTCTGACTAGATTATTACAAGAAAAAACCTTTTTTACCTTTTTACTTTGTGTCTAGTGAAACCTTGCTCAGTACCAGGGTTCTCTAACATTCCCAGCAACAAGCCAACAGCAAGAAGTCACTGAAATTGCGGAGCTGGCAGTTTATGGCTAAAGACAGGAGGATTAAGGCTGAAGCATGCAGGCTCCATGCCTCCCCAGAAGTAATTTCTTGTACATTTTGGTAGTTTCTATGTGCTTAATAGAAGAAAAAAATGAGTCCTCTTCTCTGAGACCATAGTCTCTGTTGGCTAGATGCACAGGGCTTACATTTCCAAGGAGGTCAGTATTTACATAGTTTAGATGTGAAAAAACACTGAACTTCTTATCATACATGGCTCAGAATATCTTAAAGTGTGCAGAAGGTGTGCAAATTCTTTATGTCTTAGAACTGAGGATAAAAAGCACACTTCACCACAGGAACATTTTCAATATGCTGTACTGGATACTGAGATCCTGTCATTCACAAAATCTGTATCTATTTCACATACCTAGTCTGCCAAACCTGTTCCATTCAGTTTAGAATTTTTTTGAGTTTCTTGAGACACAAATTTACATGGTCAGAGTATAACAATATTCTTGAACCTTCTTTTTTTCAAAGTTAGTATCTTCAGCTGTAAATTCTGAAGACATGCTACCTGCAGATAAAATGTTGCTGTTAATCAGAGAGCCTGAGAGATTGTGAGAGGAAACTGAAATCAAGCACAGTTTTTGGGCAGAACTGAGGTAGGCTCAGTTGCAACTCAGAGTAATCTGCTGAAATTATTTCCTCTTGTTCTTTCAAATAATGTGTTTTATTTGAATTACATAGCATGGGGCACTGAGCCCCTGTGTGAGCAAACTAAAGACAGCTGGCACAAGGGATTAATAGTGATGCTTCTTTATTGCAGATGTTTGGCCCTGTAATTTAGAGAAATAGGCCACAGTTATGAGAAGGAGAACAGGGCAGCATTTCCCCTGCTGTTCTGTTGAGGCCAATTAGTGGCATTTCTCCTGATTGAGTTTCAATTTTGGAAAGTGTTTCAACAGTTTTGTTTGTATTGTGTATAATGTACATACCTACGTGTATTTGTGGAAAATCAATAGTAGTATAAAATGCCTGCCTTCAGTTTTCACCCCTTTTGTGTAAATCAGGGATGAAATGTTTTTATAAAATTGTGTCTCACCAGATGTCTGCTGCAAGGAATTTGTTGAACTCATTAAATATCATAGAGGACAAGCCACCCATAAATTCGCTCAAATGAATTCATGAACAGTTAAACTACTAAAACCTGATTTTCTCTGTGTTTCTTGCTCCTGATTAATTACACTTCCAAAAGTGATTCAGTGTTGAGGGACGAACAGACAAGCTTTATTCCATTAGGGGAAAAAAAAGAAAAATTAAAACTTTCATCCTGCTTAGCAATGTGTGCAGAAACGGCAGAGTTTACCCTGAGGTGCTGCAGGACAGGAGCTGTCTCAGCCTGCCCAGTTTACAGTGCAGTGTCACCCACAGGTCCCCTCCTTCACTGGAATTGCACTGGTTCCATGTGGCACCTTCCTTCACTGGAATTGCACTGGTTCCATGTGGCACCTCCCTTCACTGGAATTGCACTGGTTCCATGTGGCACCTTCCTTCACTGGAATTGCACTGGTTCCATGTGGCACCTCCCTTCACTGGAATTGCACTGGTTCCATGTGGCACCTTCCTTCACTGGAATTGCACTGGTTCCATGTGGCACCTTTTGGATGAGCTCTGCTGAAAGGCAGGAGGGCTGGTGCAACTCACAGAAGGGTTTGTTAGGTTACAAATGGCAGCTGGATATAAAGTTTGGAACTAGAAAACAGCAGTGAAGGTTAACCAGATTTCAGGCATCTTATGGTGACCAGTCTGGCCAGTCCTTATTTATTGTTGTAAGTGCCCAAAGTGTTATTATATTAAAGATCTTTTCATAATGCAAACAGATCTAATGAAAGTTGATTTTTTTTTTCTTTCTTCTGCTTTATAAAGGTGCAGCATACATTTAGAACTCTACTTTTAAGCAGGTTTATTCGTGGTGGTCAGCTCAGGCCAAAAAAAGCCAGAAGACCCTTTTAGTGTTAGCCACAACTAAAACCTAAGCAAAACCCTCTGACTTCCAACAAAAAACAAAGGAAAGATTTACAAACAAAATGTATTGAGAAAGTAGCATCTGCTTTGATAAACAATGCATTTTGCAAGATTGTTATTCAAGCTGATGGGCTATTGAGATTTAAAAATAAAATTTTAAAGAATGTAATATTATAAAACTCCTTCTTGTGAGGTCTGAATCTGGTGTAAGATTTTATTTTTTGTTTGTTTTTAATGCTCCAGCTTGTGTATTGCTAGTTGTAGGTACTTATATTACACAAAATCTCAGCCTTCTTCTTTGTCATGCCCTAAAGAAGAGCATTGAAGACAAAGAGGATCAGGGGGACACAGAATGATGGATAGAGAGTCTTTGTACTCATGAAGAGAGGCAGGGGCATGGTTACTTTTATAGCTTTATTTACAAGGGCTTTAAAGGCTCATCCTGCTTCAGAAACATTATATTCCTTTTCCTGTATCCCATCATCATTCACAAATGTCTGCCCAGCTTAAGTTAAAACTCCCTGCCATTCAGAAGAACATGAAATCTGTTATTATTCATGTATCCGTTTGATTTCCCACCAAAACCCAGAAATGTGTTGTAGGGAAAAAAAGATTATAGAAATGCAAGATTTCACAGAGAAATATATCAGTTTATTCAGCTGCTCATTTCTACTCCAATATGTTTGGATTTGAAAAGGAAATGCAAAAAAAGAAAGCACTTGGTTATACAAGCAAAATTGGATTTTGTTCCTTTGTTTCTGGGAAGCAAGGATGGGTTTCTCTTAAGTCTTCCTTGACAGAAACACAGTCTTCCTTAACTTTTGTTTTGTTTAGGAATTTGACCTTTCTTATTTATATTAATTTTCAGTAGGTGGATTAAGGCCAGGCATCCAAGCCACTATTCCTGCCTGAGTGAAGATATAATTTATTTTCCAGTGCCTTTGTTTTATTATCTGTCAAATGTTTGTGGAGGAACTCCTGAGGTCTATACAAAAGAACCTATTTCTGTAAAACATTTATATCCTATTTTTGCATGGTGCAGCATACTTGGAGAGGGGAGAGGTCTAAAATGTGTGGGTTTATCACCAGGTTTGCAGTAAACAGTCAGTTACCTTGGAAATACATTCACTATGCACATTATTGCAAGGAGTTTATGTAGCCTAGGGTGTGAAAGCTATCCTGTAGTCTACAGGAGGCTGGAAACCATGTGAAGAAAATTTCTTGTCTAAATTCAGCTATTTTTCATGGACAGAGAGTTATTTTTGTGCCAAGCAGCTTTGTGGCATTCATTGCATGTTGCAGTAGCTCACCCTACCATTTTGAAATGGAGAAGAGGAATCAATCAGCTGTTTCACAGTGGGATAATGCCTTGCAACTGATGTCAGGTCAG